TGTGTGTGTGTGTGTGTGTGTGTGTGTGTGTGTGTGTGTGTGTGTGGGTGTGAAGGTTTTTGTGACTTTCTAATAGTTGCAGACACTGCGTTACATGCGCGAGAATTATCCGCTTAGGCATCTCTCAATTTCTTAAGGAGATGCGTACAGAGGTATGTGATTTTTTTTTTTAATTGACTGTACTTGTGATTCGTTGATGGTTTTGAAGTATTTGTATCATCGTCGTATGAATAAACTGGCGGAAAGCCATTTATAGGCTATACAAAATAACTAAATAAATAAATGATAAACAAGGATGTGCCCCATCAGGAATATGATCTGAATATGGGCAAATTGCAGAAATACCGGTTTGCAAACACATCGTATGAACTTTACCGGCCCGCGCAGTTATGCTCGCAAACAAATGTACCGTTTTTCGAAAGTTGCCGCGCAGCAGCAGATTTACCGGTCGTAGCAACTTTACCAGCAGATTTACCGGTCGTAGCAACTTTACCAACAGATTTACCGGACGTAGCAACTTTACCTGCGCCAGTGAAGTTGCAGAGATACCCTTTTTCGAAAGTTCCTGCGCAGCAGCAGATTTACCGGTGTGTACCTATTTTTGTAACAGAGGGGGTCCCGAAGGGCTGGCTCGAAGGCAAGGGCTCCAAGGCGCACGGGTCCTCTGTTGCAAAGCCAGGTACCGGCCGGTATATTTGCACAACTGAAATGTCACGGACCGGTATTTCTGCATAGCGCTTAACTTGTTTGTTTGTCACCATAGTTGGTATGTTATGAAAGTTGCTATAGAATACCTTAACCGGTATTTCTGCAATTTGCCCTCTGACGATGGACTTACCTGTGGACGTAATTGAAATGAGGTGCATCCAGGTCTGGTCGTAAAAGAGGTCAGATGCATCAAGGAAAAGTTGAGGATGAGTATGGCCTTCGAGTGGACGTTGTCTTTTGAAGTTTGAACTGTGGTCCTGTGAAGATTCTAAGGGAATACAGTGAATACTCGTACGAGGACTGATTCGGCTGAGCCGCTGAGCTTGACGTAATGTTTGCTGTCACGTACGTCAAGGTCAACGTGAGATTCCGGTCAGTCACATGCACAGAGGAAACCCTGAGCGTGAGTGTGCCCACTGTGCCCTGAATATTAAATTGTAACATTTATCTTGAGGTGGAGAAAATTTGTTGGGAGGCTTTTTCTGAGTGAGATAGGATCAGTTTCCCTACACTAACTTCGTTAAACGTGAAGCTTTGTCGGAGCGAACGAAGGTCGAGGAAAACATCTCTTAAGTTTCCGAATTTGTTGAGGATTCTTTTTGAGCGACTTTGGTAGTGCTCTCTGCTTGGAGCAGTTTCGTAGTTTGTCAGACGTCGCGCTCGATCCCCGCGAAGAGTCGTTGGAGCGGAGTTAAGGGAAGGAAAACCTATCTATCGTTCTATATTCTGTAGACTAAGTCGTTGGAGTGGAGTAAAGGGAAGGAAAACTTATCTATCTTTCTATATTCTGTAGACTAAGTTCCCAATTGACTAGAGTTGTTACCTTCTGTTGAGTGATTTGTTAAATCATGTTAAAGGTTTTGGATGTTTGTAAGGTTGATGTCATTTTGATGATGATGATGCTTCTCGTTATGAGTCTCTTTTTCGTCTCTTCTTTCCACGCCCTACTTTGTGCTGTGCAGGGATCATTGCAGGGGTTGCTTGTCTCTTTGTTGCCGTCTAAGACTTTTCTTTCCACGCCCTGCTTTGTGCAACCAGGGACTGCAGGGATTGAAATGTTGTAGGAGGTGTACGGATTGTCGGTTGCGTGAATTTTTCTGTACGGCCAAGAGTTGCTCTCTCGGAGGTCGTTACCTATATTCCGTCTGAGAGTTCGTACGGAAGCTTTACCAACGAACGTGTACGAACGTTGAGATGGGTGGGTTTGATAATACGAGATGTTTTCTTCATAGGAGGCCCAAGAAACAGGGCCATGAGGTATGAGGTTACATTGAGGTATACGAGGTATTATGCTGACGTGAAGTGGAACGATTGGGATCGTGTAGAGTGTAATAGAGGCGATTAGGATTATAAGTAGTGATGGAGAGGTCAACGAGAGGTATTCGATATGTTACTATGATGGCTTCTTCCCCCCAAACGGTAAGTTATTATATAATAGCCGTATTTGGACAATTATAAACCCCAAATACAGCTAGGACAACTATAAACCCCAAATACAGCTAGCACCCCAAATACACAGCTAGAATGACCGGACGTTGTATTTGAAGGAAGAAGGTAGTGTCAGGCGAACACACCAACTGAAAAGAAAAAAAGGAAAAGGAAAAAAAAGAAGGAAAAAAAAGAAAGAAAGGGGAGAACAGAGGTACTACAACGATGTTTCGTGAGTGAAAAAGAAGATTAGCACCCCCCGCTGCACCTGGGTGACGTGGGTACCAGTCCTGTGACTTGAGCATCGTGCAAGATGTGACTCGAATTGGGCGCCAGTGACAGGCCGTCATGAAGGGCAAGGGTAATTATTATGGAAGTCCAGAGACTTCCTCCCCGTCACGTACGTAGTACGTGCTGGTGCTTAGCCTTTTTTGCGTGCGGGGAAGAGGGAGGGAGGGAAGGGGAAACGCGGTTAGCGACGGACTGCTGTGGAGGGGGTTATTCCTTTGCACCTGTGAATAGTTGACGAATAGGGTGAGGCGGTTTGGAAGCCACGATGGTGGTCACTGTCGACCTAGTGTGGACTGTGGAGGAGGCTACGCCGCTACGGTCTCGTCGAGTTTGTCTTAAGGTTGGTTGGTTGCTGCGTACTATGCAAACCAAACACGGTGTTGCAAATCAATGTGTAAGTAACACAGTGACTACAAAATTTATCACAACAGATCGTTTTGGAGAGACCATATCTGGGTCCTCTTCTCGTTCAGTGGGATTTAGGGCATCTCGTCCATTGAACCGATTACGATGCAGTGCTCCAGCCACTGCTGAGACTGTAACGCGTGCGCTTCGCGTTTACCGGGAACTAACCAAATGTTTATAGCAATGCCTTTTTCGCTTTGTTGGAAAATTTATCTACACACTACAGGTTTTTGACGAAATGATAACGTGGACTCTTTTCTCGATTCATGCGTCTCCGACTCTCCGAGTCATCTTTCCGCATCGGCGGCATTGCCCATGCCGCCATGCTAATCTTCTCTCTGAGAGTCTGAGACTCGAGGAACCGGCCGGATTATTGTCCACAGACTAAGTTCCGAAAGTACGGCCGGATTATTGTCCACAGACTAAGTTCCGAAAGTAGAAGCTGGCTGGAGGGAGGTGACAGGTTGTGGTACCAGGTTTTCCTCCACAGTCTCGCAGTCCGAGGGACTGTAGGTCCGAGGGACTGTACTGGTACAGTGGTACTGAGTTCTAAGTGGCGTCTATATTAGTTGGCACAGTTGTAGAACCTGTAGGGTAGGGTAGGGTAGGGTAGATACTAGATAGGGTAGCAGTAGGTTGGGACCGTTGGGCAGCATGGAGCAGCAGAGGCTTGTTGCTATAGGAACCTGCAGGCACATACTTGGCCCAGCTATCGGTCATGGAAAAAACAAAAATAGAGTAGAAATGTTTCAAGTCGGATGAATCTGGGCTCTCCTGTAGTAGCCCGTACGTTTCCTAAAATCTTGTCACCTTAACGGCCACGACTCGAGGAAGTACTGGTGGGTTTCATAAGCTTGACGGTGCTTCCAGCAACCTTTTGCGGGTG